TTTCCTCTACTTCTTTTATATGTTTGTCACTCTCTTGTGACCTGCTATTTCCGGGGTGCCTTGATAGTTGAAGCAGACCTTGTGCTGTTGACACCCACCCCTTGGCGCTCATATAACCTTATACAGTTGCGAGCGCCGTGAAACCCTTTACTATAAAAAAAAAAATCACTCCTTCATTGTTTTCCTCGTATGTTACCTTCTCACAACACCTCTAATCTCAAACACTTGTGGAGCAAGTGCTTTATAACTTTTACTGAAACTAAAAACTAACCCTCTATATTTATATCTACCTTTGATCTTTCCCAGTTGGTGATGAGGCTGAAGTCCAACGCCATCAGCTGGAACCCCATGCAAGCCTTTGTCTTCACAGCCGCGTGTGATGATTACAAGTAAGTCTATGTATCCTTATGGGCATCGCGATGTTTAGTCACTCACGATCAGTTGCGAGATGTGTATTCTGATGCGCGACTATGTCGCACCCAAATTTTCAGTCGCATGCGACAGAAGCGGCAAATATGTCTCCTTATGCGCATCGTTAAGTGGCTCGCAGCTGGTAAATCCCGTGCTTAAAGATGAAGAATGCTATGAATGTGCGCGTGTAAGAAAATTTGGAACTTAATAATCTGTTGGCTGTGTGTCTGCTAGACTGTGTTTTAAAAGAGAACAAGGTGCTGTTATGTAAAGTACAACTTGTAGAAAAGAGATGTAACGCAACAGGCTTGGTCTGTGCTATTGTTACCTTTCTAGGAGGCTCTCGTGGTCGAGAGGTTACAATATTCGCTTTTCCTTCAATGGGTGCCCACTTTTTGCCACATCCCCTCACCTCCTCTGGGCTCCTGACTCTATCTGCTGCCTTTCTACTGCTACTCCTTGGCTCCTTCCTGCTTCTGTCTTTCAGTCACACCCCTGATTTTATGGTAGGTAAGGTCTAACACATATAGCCCTCTCGGACAAGGGTGAACAAATCTGAAACTATTAGGCTGAAATGATGATTGAAATATGCACACAAGATGCAGAGAAATATCAATTTTAAAAAACCCAAAATGGGCCAGAATAAGTTGATTTGGTTTGAAATCCTAAATCAAAGACAGAACTTAATGGCATGATGTTGTAGCATTTCTGTCTTTTCCTCAAACAGCATCTCAATCTCAATTTATGTTTGCCCGTTTGTTTGATCTTCCAGCCTGTACACATATGACATCAGGAACTTGAGGATGGCAACAAACAAACACGAGGACCACATTGCTGCAGGTATGTTGCTGTAGTTTTTGGCTTTCTTGTGGTGAGGCTCCAGTGAGATACTAGCAGGTTACTCACAAGTTGAATTACTGTCACTCCAAGAGGTGGATGAGAAATCGCTTTTTAAAAAAGAGAAATTTGCGACAAAAACGGCTATCCCAGCTACTTGATGTCGACAACCATTGTTTCTTGAGCAATCTCTAAACCAAAAACATGGCTAAAGGAGAGAAAATCCAGTGGTCTTGCAGGTTTTGGTTAAAGCAGGCTTCGTTATCGTCCTATCATTTAACATTTTAAAAGGTTGTGTGAATATTTATAGTTTGTAGTCGTATATTAAAGCATAAATATTAAAAGTTTGGAAAAGTTCCAAGTGCATATTTACAGTCGTAAACTAAAGTTTAACATTCAAAGGGCTCATGTATTGTTTTGCTTCCCCACATGGCATTTCGATACCTCCCTTGGGGGGGGTGTGGCCATTCCAAATGAGTGTTTCAACCCTTCTTTTTAAACCTACAATTTCTCCTATAAACAAGGAAGTTGTGCCTGTACTATATATATATATATATATATGCTCTCTCTCCCCGACCTGTACTATGATATACATATATGCAGTCGAACCTGTGAAAGTCGGCCACCTGTTGTTAAGGAGAAAATTAGCCGTATAAGACAGGTGGCCGTCTTAGGCAGGGCTGATCAAGATAAAAGCAAACGAACCATTCCTTTCTGAGGTCCTAACCGAAAGTAGCCGCATTGTTGTTGTTGTTTTCACTGGGGGGGTTTTTCTGGGGGTTTTTTCTTTTGTTGCTGATTTTGTACAAGGGTGACAATAAAACGAAATGTGTCAGACAAGGAGGACCGAGTGCCATGGTAAAACAAAGCACTCGGAGAACGAGCGACGGTTCTTTAACAAGTTCACGTCAACGTCCATTGTTACTTTGTTACAGACTGGGTAAGCAGTGACCTCTCATCTCACTTACGATAATTTGTGTATGAGTTATGGGTTATGGGGGATCACACACTTACCTCACCAGCAGCTGAAAATGTGTTACCTATTGGTCAACAGTGGGAGGGGCCTACGCAACATGATCGGTTGGAGGGACTACTTAACAACAACGACAGGTGATTGGATATGACGGCTCGCCCACAATGTCAGGGGCCAATGTACAATTTATGACAAAACGTAATGGAATCACTAAGGTGGCCGTCTAAAACAGGTGTTATTGCTTGATGTGATAGGGGTTGTGTGTTGAAATATTGTGGCCGCGGCCACGTTGGACAGGTGCCCGTTTTACACGGTTAAATTATATAGAAAAAACGCCGCAAGGGGAGAAAAGGAAAGTGGCCGTTTGTACAGGTGGCCGTCAGGGCAGGTTTGACTGTATACTCTCTCTCCCCAACCTGTGCTATGATATGCCCTCTCTCCTTGACTTCCCCAGTGATGGATGTCGACTACGCTCCAACGGGGAAAGAGTTTGCAACGGCTGGCTACGACAGAGCGGTCAGGATTTTCAACCACACAGACGGACACAGCAGGTGGGGGAATCAGAAGTGGGGAAAGGAGAGAATTATCCTTTCCAGCTTCTCTCTCTCTTCCTTCTTCTCCCTCTCTCTCTCTTTCTCTCTCTCTCCTTCTCCCTCCCTCCCTCCCTCCCTCCCTCCCTCTCTCTCTCTCTCTCTCTCTCTCTCTCTCTCTCTCTCTCTCTCTCTCTCTCTCTCTCTCTCTCTCTCCCTCTCTCTTTCTCTGTCACTGTCACTCTCCTCACCCCCTTAAGAAGCTCTTGATGTGATTGATTGTTATTGTGTTGGTATTCTTCTCCTTACTCAAAGTAAAATGTCCACGGAATGGGTGGTTGGAAGTTTGTTGTAGTGTTTTTCTGTAATATGGCAGCCTGCACTCTGTACTTCCCTGGAAGTCAAGATTTTAAAAAAAATCCCTTTAGCTCTGCAGTTGTTATAATATAGATTGCAAAGCGCATAGTGCTTGCTTTTGAGCGGAATTTGCTCTATGTAAAAGCTATTCATTTATTCTTATTACTAGAATGTTCCACTTCTTTGTTACTGTCTGTTTTTCTCGGGGGTTCATCTTTGTGGATGCCTATATTTATGTCAGTGTGTTCCTCTTTTTCCTAACAAAACCGATGTTGTGGTGTAGTGGTTAAGCACTTGGCTGTAACGTGCGGGAGACCTTGGTTCAATTCCAGAATGGGTAGAAATTTTATCATCAAGTGTTTTGGTCTTTCTGCAGGGATATTGTATCCCTCTCAGCCCTGGTTGATACTGACAGGCTGATCAGAAAACCACCGCCTAATGTGATCTAAATTGTGTGAGTGGAGTCATGAAAACACTTACTTTAACTCTTTATTTTCTGAGGAGGGGGGGTATACCCACTGTGCCGGGACCCTATTTTGGTACGAAATCTAAAATTGAAATCTGTCTCATAATTGGTCTTTAACCTCAAAGCAAATATAAGCCCATTTCGATAGTTCTTCATCTAATGAATGAACTCCCAGTAAAAGATACCTGTTTGCCGAAAACTAATTTGACGTTGAAGTTGCCGAAAAAAATGTGCCTGAGCCACTGTCAGCAGCTCACTGACACAGCGGGTGCAACCGCGAACCGCTGGGGGTGGCTTGCCGGAGATAAAGAAGAGAAAAATCTCTAAGAAAATGCTCCTTTTTCCCTATCAAACGTCTATCGTCCTGATCTCTCCTCCTTTTTTATGTTTTGTTACTCTCTTGTAACGCCCCTAATCTTCAGCACTTATATGAACTTATTGTGTTGCAAGTGGTGTAAAACACTTACTAAAACTTTTTTTTAATGTGACATGTCCACCCACAGAGACGTGTACCACACCAAGCGCATGCAGCGAGTGAACCACATCATGTGGTCCATGGACAACAAGTACATTCTTTCCGGCTCTGACGAGATGAACGTCCGACTGTGGAAGGCCAGAGCCTCGGAGAAACTGGGGGTGGTAAGTCATTGCTTCATCGACCTCTCCACTGCTGTGTGAGTGGTTGGCGGGGGCTCTGGTGTGGTTTGCTTCTTCTTTCCTATCAAACATCTATCGTCCTTATCTTCCCCTCCTTCTTTTTTGTGTTTGTTACTCTCTTGTAACATTAACACCTCTAATATATATACTTATATGACCCTATTGTGTTGCAAGTGCCGTAAAACATTTACTAAATCTTTAAAAAATGTGTTGACGTATAATACACTCTCTTTGTGTTATCCTTTGCCGGTTCACGGACATTGTCTCTCTTTTGGTTTTTAGAGGATGTTTTTGAAGATTTGTTCACTTTACAACTTGTGCAGTTTCTGTATTACTTGTCCTGGGCAGCAACGTCTGTTTCTGCAGATGGGTATTTTTTGCATTAAAAGCATGGCAAATGGACAAGCTTAAAGGTTATTACAGCAACTCACATGTCCAAAGGACCCCTCGGGGCGGTGCACTGCTGACTGGAGTGTCTTTAGGCCTTTCCAAAAGGGGGGCATTAACATGTTCTTTTGCACAGTAGAATTGTAAATTTGGCTGATTCATCAATGTCATGCTCATAACTGTGCCTGAACTGCAACAGGGAATTGCTGCTTTTTCTTTCCTTATCCTTACTATCATCATTTCCCCTCTACTTCTTTTGTATGTTTGTCACACTCTTGTGACCTGCTATTTCCGGGATGCCTTGGTAGTCGAAGCAGACTTTGTGCTGTTGAGGTTAGAGAGGTGAGCAGAGTAAGCCTGATTCCCTGTAAGTGTAAGAACTTTTCTGCTGACATCCACCCCTTGGCGCCCATATGACCTTATGCAGTTGCGGGCACGGTAAAACCATACTAAAACTAGTCTATGCTTTTCCAAAATATGACTATGAGGAGTGCCTCACTGATGCGGCTATGTCGTGATACATTGTATTATTAAATTCATGCAATGTCCATGTCAAGGGGATGTAATTAAGACATCTAGTGTCACAATGTCGATAACACAGTTGTTTCCCTTGCAATCTTTTTTTTTTTTAAACCAGCCACTCTTTTTTTTTTTTTCCTCAACAATATATATGTGACCAGCTATCATAGACAATATCGACTGTTTGTATATAATTTATGTACCGATTATATTGTATAATTCTCCCCCCCCCCCCCCCCCCCCCCCCCAATATTTCCTTGTCAAAACACCCCCTGATCTTTCTCGTCCTCATCACTACTAGCTCAAACCTCGCGAGAAGACGGCCATCAACACAGCGGAGCGGCTCAAGCGGACGTTCAAGGACCATCCGGAGATCCAGCGCATCTCTCGCCACCGCCACCTGCCCCGACTCATCTACCACTACAAGCAGGAGCACCAGGACATCAAGGAGTCACAGAAGAGGAAGTACGTCACCACCATATTGGCTTTTTTATTACAGTCTCTCTCCCCCCCGCCGCTTGTGTTGAAGTTGCTCCAGTTGATCTTTTTTCTCGGGTCCCACCACCTCTTCTTATTTACTTTTGTCTTTACTCTCTTTACTTTTGTCTAAATCAAAGTTATGATGAGAGTTTAACTCAAAGGTAAATACACTTGAGTTGAAGTATGCAACGTATGCAGTATGTTTCGCGTGTTTCAAGTGTTTCACATTTTTGGCACGGGTAGTACTTGACTTGAAAATACAGTAATGTAGAGCCGATCAACGTGCAATAAGACTACAACTACAATAGTTCACAATTTCTACCTCCATGAAATGGTGAGAAGAGGGTAATGCAAGGAGTGGGTGGGTGTGACTTCACAACGCAATAACCAGGTCTTTGTTGTTGCTTCCTCTCCCTTCAAGGCCAAAGGGTATAGTGCATGGCGAGGCCGTGAGTAATATAGTGCAACCTCAGAATAACGTTCTCAGTTTTTTTACTTTCTGAAAATCCTGCGTCCCAATGAATATTTTCACTCATTAAAAGCTATGTCTTAAACGTTTCTGTGTGAAGCATACTTTTCACGTTGACTTTCAGTTTTTTGGGAATTTTAGTGATGGGCTTTGTGAGAATACAGAAAATGAAAAAAAAAGCAATAGTTTTAAAGTATTCAGGAATGCAACATAATCTGTACTTGTCTGGATGGTCATTTTGGACAATTTCTGATGTATAAAAGCAATGCCATAAATAAGGTTTAGTCTTTTCTCACACACTTTGCCAACATTATTCTATAATATCATTCATCCTATCAATTCTTCACCTTTTTATTTGTAGATGTGATGCTTTCTCGCAGCATATCTCTGTGTGTTGCTTTTGACTAAATGTTCGCCTCACCTTCAGGTGGCATGCGCTGTGCAGTTTTTGTTTAGTTTTGTTGGGGGGGGGGGGTAATGATTTTTTTTATTTATATGCCTCCCCCTGGGGCAGTGCCACTGACTGTAGTCTCTTTAGGCCATTCCCAAAGGGGGGACATTCCTCGTTCAAGCACAGTAGAATTGTAAATGGGCTGATTCATGTCACGCTCATAAATGTACCTCATCTACAACAGGGAACTGCTGCTTTTTCTTTCTTAATCCTTACTATTGTCATTTTCCTCTACTTCTTTTGTATGTTTGTCACACTCTTGTGACCTGCTATTTCCAGGGTGCCATGGTAGTCGAAGCAGACCTTGTGCTGTTGAAGCTAGAGAGGTGAGCAGAGTAAGTCTGATTCCCTGTAAAGACTTGTCTGTTGACACCCACCCCTTGGCGCTCATATGACCTTATGCAGTTGGGAACGCCATAAAACCCTCTACTATAATTTTTTTAAATATAAAAAATAAAAATATGCTGACAAGTGACTTTTTTTTGTTTCCAGGGAAAGCAACAGAAGGTTCCACAGCAAGCCCGGAGCTGTGCCACACGTCCCAGAGAGGAAGAAACAGGTGGTGGATGTCAAGGAGTAGACGGCTTGTGGGTGTGCGTGCATACGTGTGTGTGTGGGGGGGGGGGGGGGGTGCATATGTGTATGTATGCGTGCTTACGTATGTGTGTGTGCGTGCATGCCTATGTGTGTGTGTGTGCGCATGCATGCATACATGTGTGGGAGTGTGTGCAGGTGTGCCTTCTTTTGTATGTGTATGGGTGCATTTGTGTGTGTGTGTGTGAGTTTGTAAGTATGTGTTTCTGAGTGGATAAGGCTGTATGTATTACATACACAGTGTGTGTCGCTGGTTGAGAGAGTATTGACCGAATGTGAAGGTTTACTTGTGTTCGAATAAAATTTCGTCTATATTTGTGATGAGAGGGTGCGTGACATTTAGTCTGTGCGGGTACTGAATGAGCCAGGTGTGTGTTCGTGTTATGATGTTGGTATTTCTGTCGACTCCGCACAAAATACCTGTGTTCTGAGCCTGGGCATGTGTTTGAACAACTGTGGTGCGTGTGTGGAATTGTGTCGACAGTTTTGGTTGACAAGAGTAGTGTCATAGTTTCCTGGAACATGGTTTGTTGATTGAAAAAGTATTTCTGTCATTAATAAAGCACCATAAGAGCATGGGGTTTTTTTTTGGGGGGGGAGGGGTCCAAATTATTGAAATTGTTAATTGAACTTGGTTTCATGTTTTTAAAAATTAATTCTATAGAATATTTCAGTTCTTGGCTGCCTGGTGGGTTGGACCTCGTAATTTCATTTCCAATCATTTATGATTTGATTTTGCCAAATTTGATCCGTCTTTTTTTTAAACATAATTTGTTTTGTGCACCTTTCTGTCCACTGCCATCACCCCCCTCCAAAAAAAAATTATAGGCCTTCAATATTTTTTCAATACTTCATTGTTGCAAAGAACTTTTTATTGTGCTCATGATTTTTCCCTTCCGCGATCCATTCATGAAAACTTGTGTTTTTGTGGGTTTTCCTTTGACTTTGAGTGTAGAGGTCAGATACTTAACTAACGCATCATGTTTGTATTGCCAGCAGAGTTCTAAACAGCCCGTTCTCATTGTCGAGCAGTTAAAATCACCTCCCTTACAAGTGGTTGTTGCCCCCTACCACTCGCCCCAATGTTCTTTGACATGTCCAGTGAAGCGATGGATTTTGTTGTTTTTGAAATAAAATGTTATCAGATACTCTCGCCATTTTGAGTTTGAGTGTTCGTGTTTGATGGATGGCACTGCTGCTAAGCTGGTTATCCAGTTGTAGTGGAGTGGGTGGTTGGAGGGTGCTCTGGTGTGGTTTGCTTCTTTTTTCCTATCAAACATCTATCATCCTTATCTCTCCTCCTTTTTTGTTTGTTTACTCCCCTCTTGTAACACATCTAATCTTCGGCACTTATATGACCTTATTGTTTTGCAAGTGCCATAAAACACTTACTAAAACTAAAACCAGTTGTTGTGGGTTCTTTTCCTGGTAGGGAAAATCTGCTGAAAGTCCTTCAGCCTACATAGCAACTTATAATTTGTTCTGTGCAACATTTAGTCTGTGCGGGTACTGAATGAGCCTGGTGTGTGTTCATGTCATGATATTGGTATGTCCGTGGACTCTGCACAAATCTCCTGTGTGCTGGTCCTGGGCATGTGTTTGAACAACTGTGGTGTGTAAGTGGAATTGTGTCAACAGTTTTGGTTGACAAGAGCACTTGAATACAGTGGAACTTGGATTCAACGAGGTCGCCGGGCCTGACCTAAAATCTCGTTGAATCCGAGTGTTCGTTATAGCAAACAGGAGGTTTTGTGTAGACATAATAACAGGCAGTGAGCAAGTTGTGTACAGTATAAAGAGAAGTCACAAGTAGTGCATGAAATGTCTGCATATTATGAGCTGTGTAAAAAAAAAAAAGACCGATTCTTTCAAATGAACGCCTGTGTCATCTCAATTGCTTACCAAAAAGTTGTGTTGCTGTGTAAAAGAGCCTAGCATACGGCAACTTTTGATTCCATAGATCAGCGCAAAATTCATTACGTAGATCTACGTCAAGACTAGCTTATCCTTGTAATAGTGATCAGTTGCCGAGGGGAAAAGAAAGACTGTGACGCGTTTGTATCTGCGAGGTTCAACGCCCGAACCGCTAGTGCCACCCCACCCCCTCCCCGACATGCACACACAGTCACACGTGTGCAAGCCGCCCATCCGACCCCGCGCACGCCAGAGTAGACACGTGCGCGTGCCAACAACGCATGTGTTGGTATGAAAAAAGGCCACTGATTGGTCGCATGCAATCAGCTAAGTGAATAATGGTTCACGATGCAGGTGCAATGGATGATTTCCAGGAATAGATAAAGTTCGTTCTGGGAGAAAAATGAGCGAAGCCACGTCTGCGGGGGCTGTTCACCCTGGAAGTAAGCGACCTCGTTGAATCCGAGCTCGCTGATTTAAGTGCTCGTTGAATCCGGGTTATTTTTTTAAAAATTGATTTTAAAGAGAAAAAAAAAAACGGGGAATCTATCTCATCTCGTTGAATCCGAGTTCCACTGTACCACAGTTTCCTGAGAATTTGGCTATTAAAAAGTATTTCTGTCTTTAATTTAAGCACAATAAGATTTGTTGTGTATTTTCCAGCTGAAAGCGAGATTCCCTTTCCTTAAACTTAAAGTAAGGCAATGTTATGCGATTTTCAAAGGTAGGCCTACTCTTGATGATTAAGCCTACTAAAGTTCCCTTTTCAAAAAATAAAATGATTAATGCGTCAATCTTCTAGTGGCTGGGCTGTTGGGGCGTGCAACCAAGATGTCATGGGTTGAAACTCCTTCAAGGGGCCCCATGTTTTGTCCTAGTGAAAGGCACTTTTACACAACACAAATTCCCTTACTTCACCCAGGTAAGAATGGGTACCCATCATGTATTTATAAAACTGTTTAAGAAAGTCAGTTTGCTAGTTTTTTTGCACACGTTATCTGCGTGGTTTTATGCATTAACAAATTCTGAAAATTTTCAAACTGACCCCAAAATTGTGAAATTATGCGATTCTGTTAATTTTAGCAAAGAATGAAAAAGGAAAATAATGAGAATTTATGCAAAAAATGATCAAATTATGCGGGGTGCTTAAAACCCCGGGGACAGGATAGGGCCTGCAGGGGTAATTACTAATAACAGCAAAGAGCAGTGGCGGTGGGTGGACCAAAATTTGGGTGGGGCTTAGGTTGCTTCCAGTTCTTTACCATCAAATGGCAAGCAATAAGAATTAATCAGTGATGATTTTTCTATACTCAGGGTGAGCCACGGCAGTTTGAGAACCATTCAAACGAGAAGAGTTGCCTTTGTTGTTTTCCATCTCTTTGTTCTTAGTTAAATTCTTGTTGATGGTGGGGACGAAGCCGATTCACCTCTAAATTTCCTCTAATTAGTTTTCATGTGATGAAAAAGTTGCCTTAAAAGTAGTTCGGCCTGATTTATAACTGTTAAATCTCAGCTGCACAAACGCAAACATGCATACACAGCACTTCAAATATAACAGTTCTATAAGCTGGATTAGGCCGTGTAGTCGAGAAAGTATGCACCCAACAAAGAACCAATGAGCACTTAGGTATCTGTGTCGTCAGTGGGGGAAAGTGTGTCGTAAACTTTTACCCCATTGTCAAGGCTAGGAGAGCGTAAGCCCTCAGTACAGTGTTATTTTTTTCCCTGTCTTCTACCTTTTTACGAGAAAAGTTTCATAAAGGGCGGGCGGTGGGAAATGGCTCATCTTCGCTGAGCCCTAAAGACATTTGATTGGCTGCTGGGTTGCTAAAGTTGTAAGCGGTGACAACAGTGATTGGATAAGTGAGCAAGCCCCCAAGTTGATCACTCTGTGTTCATTGCGTGCGGTCATAACGGTTTCAACTGCTTATTTCATTATGGAGAAACTTTCATTTACTTTGGGATAGAGTTGTGGGAGGGGAGGGGGTAGGGGCTCAAGCCACTGGCAAAGGGAGGTATGGCAGAGTAGTACACTGTGTTGAGTAGTCAATGAGCACTCCGAAAGTTGTGCCTTCTTTCCTATCAAACATCTATTGTCTTTATACTTTATCTCTCCTCCTTTTTTTGTGTGTTTGTTACTCCCTTGTACAGTGGAATCCTGTTACAACGAGGTGTGAAATGTCCGTTATACCAGGATTCTCGTTGTAAGGAATCCAGTAATAAATTCAATGGAAATAATAAAGCAGGCCTAATCTATCAGTTTGGTGTTCTGTTTATTTCTTTTTGTTATCTACCCTGATGATGACATTGTTCAACATGACCTCTAGGTCTTACTTGATCAAAAATTGAATCGGGTTTCTTTCTCAAGCGATATTGACAGCACTGCGTTGGCGATCAGAAAGAACTGTGTTGTCCCCCACCCCACCACACCCAGTTGTGTGTTTCATCTGCTTGCGCACGTCACCTGACGTTACTACACATTCATTCCATCCATCACAGCATTGTGACCTCTCCATCCCCGCATCGGAGAAGTGAGGGCATGGGTAGTGGTAGGCCTAGATAATCTAGACTAGGCTGGCCTATCACGCGATGCGTTCTGCTTGTCTACGCTTACCACACCCTCCCCACGCATTCGCTCCGGCCTTCGTTGTTGGCAAACGTGGGCTCTCCTATTCTTTGTTTCGCTCAAGGAGTTGATGTATTGTAAGGTCCTAGGTTTCGCTAGATCACCAACAAGTTTCTCAACTGGCGAGGTTTATATGTATAACTGGCCTGTGCGCTGTGCACAGCAGCAGCAATATTCCGCTATAACCGACTCCCCTGGTTGTTCAATTGCGCTACAGCAGTATTTTTTTACAAAGATAAAGAAGGGAAAAAAACGGGGTTTTAGAATAGTGTCTTAATAACAGACTTCTCGTTGTTTCAGGACTCGTTATAAGTGGACTCCACTGTATCACCTCTAATCTTCAGCACTTAAATGACCTTATTGTGTTGCAAGTGCCATAAAACTCTCTTACTAAAAAAGGTTCAGCTGATGCACTAAAAAAGAAATCATTTTGTTGCAGTTGTAAGTTATATTAAATTTCATTTATAAAGCGCATTTCTCACAAAGTAGGCACCCCCTAGGGCAGTGCCACAGTCCCAAAGGGGGGACATTTCTCGTTCAAGCACAGCAGAATTGTTAATGGGCTGGCTCATGTCACGCTCATAACTGTGCCTGAGCTACAACAGGGAACTGCTGCTTTTTCTTTCTTGATCCTTACTATTGTCATTTTCCTCTACTTCTTTTGTATGTTTGTCACTCTCTTGTGACCCGCTATTTCCGGGGTGCCTTGATATTCAAGCAGACTTTGTGCTGTTGAAGCTAGAGAGGTGAGCAGTCTAAGTCTGATTCCCTGGGAAGACTTCTCTATTGACACCCACCCCTTGGCGCTCATATGACCTATGCAGTTGCGAGCGCCGTAAAACCCTCTACTATAAAAAAACACAAAGTAGGACTACCAACATCTGTGGTGTAGTCGTTCTGCTCTTTGCTGTCACTAGCAGGACACCCGAGTTTGATTCCAGAGTGGGTGGTTGGCGGGAGCTCCGGTGTGGTTTGCTTCTTCTTTCCTATCAAACATCTACAGGTATCGTCTTTATCTCCGCACCTTCTTTTTTGTTTTTACTCTCTTGTAACTCCTCAAATCTTCAGCACTTATATGACCTCCCTGTGTTGCAAGTGCCGTAAAACACGTAGGCCTACTAAAAAAACATGATTCCAGAGTGGGAGAATTTTACGAAGTACAGTGGAATCCTGTTATAACGAGAGGATGAGGACCGGAGCAAAATGTCCGTTATAGCAGGATTCTCGCCATAAGGGATCCAGTAATAAATTCAAGGAAAACTGTAAAGTAGGCCTCATCTATGAGTTTGGTGTTCTGTTTGTTTCCTTTTGCTATCTCCCCTGATGATTATTTTGTATCAACATGACTTCTAGGTCTTACTTGATCAAAATTCGAATCAAGTTTATTTCTCTAGCGCTAGATCTAGCGATGTGGACTGGAAGCTCGGCTTAGGCGATCAGAAAGAAAGGGCTCTGGGCTAACTCGCTCGCTGTGTTTCCCCCCCACCCCACCCTACCCTGTGGTGCATTCCGTCTGCTCGCGCACGTCACACATTCGCTAAATCCATCACATTGCTGTGACCTCTCCATCCCCGCATCGGAGAAGTGAGAGGAATGGTAGGCCTCGATAATCTAAACAAGGCTTACGCTGGTTTATCGCACGATGCGTTCGGCTTGTCTGCGCATGCCACACTTTCCCTACTCAGTCGCTCCGGCCTTCATTGATGACGCACATGGGCTCTCCTATTCTTTGTTTCGCTAGATCACCAAGTTTCTCAACTGGCGAGGTTTTGCATTATGTATAATTGGCCTATGCACTGTGCACAGCAGCAGCAATATTCCGCTATAACCGACTCGCATGTTTGTCTGATATCGCTATAGCAGTATTTTATTTACAAAGGTAAAGAGGAGAAAAAACGGGGTTTTAGAACTGTCTTTACTTTATAACAGACTTCTCGTTTTTTCCCGACACGTTATAAGTGGACTCCACTGTATCTCAGTCTTGCTGCTGAGATTCGTATCCCTCTCAGTCCAATTTGGCACTGATAGGCAGGGTCACAAGCCTGCCTTCTCAATGATCTAAACCTTGTCGATGAAGGAGTAAAAACACCAATCTACTAAGAAAGTGCTCACTGTACACCACAAACACAAAGGACATGTGCACCATACATTTCCAAACAGTGACCCTTTCTGTCATCTCTCTCGCTCTCTCTCTTTCTTTCTGTCTGTGTGTGCGTGTGTGTGTGTGTGTGTGTGTGTGTGTGTGTGTGTGTGTGTGTGTGTGTGTGTGTGTCCCCCTCTCGCATCTCTTTCTCTCTCTATCGGTGTGTGTGTGTGTCTCTCATCTCTTTCTCTCTCTCTCTCTCTGTGTCGGTGTGTGTGTGTGTCTCTCTCTCATCTCTTTCTCTCTCTGTCGGTGTGTGTGTCTCTCTCTCTTTATCTCTTTCCCTCTCTCTGTCGGTGTGTGTTTGTGTGTGTCTCTCTCTCATCTCTTTCTCTCTCTGTCGGTGTGTGTGTCTCTCTCTCTTTCCCTCTCTCTGTCGGTGTGTGTGTGTGTTTCTCTCTCTCTCTCATCTCTTTCTCTCTCTCTCTGTCAGTGTGTGTGTGTGTGTGTGTGTGTGTGTGTGTGTGTGTCTCTCTCTCTCTCTGTCGGTGTATGTGTGTGTGTTTCTCTCTCTCTCTCTCTTTCTCTCTCTCTCTCTCTCTCATCTCTCTCTCACTCTCTGTGTCGGTGTGTGTGTGTCTCTCTCTCATCTCTTTCTCTCTCTCTGTGTCGGTGTGGGTGTGTGTGTGTGTGTCTCATCTCTTTCTCTCTCTCTCTGTCGGTGTGTGTCTCTCTCTCTCATCTCTTTCTCTCTCTCTATGTCGGTGTGTGTGTGTGTCTCTCTCTCTCTGTCGGTGTGTGTGTGTGTGTCTCTCTCATCTCTCTCTCTGTCGGTGTGTGTGTGTCTCTCTCTCATCTCCTTCTCTCTCTCTCTCTCTCTCTGTCGGTGTGTGTGTGTGTGTCTCTCATCTCCTTCTTTCTCTCTCTCTCTCTCTGTCAGTGTGTGTGTGTCTCTCTCTGTCGGTGTGTGTGTGTTTCTCTCTCATCTATTTCTCTCTCTCTCTCTCTCTCTCTCTCTCTCTCTCTCTCTCTCTCTCTCTCTGTCGGTGTGTGTGTGTCCCTCTCTGTCGGTGTGTGTGTGTGTCTCTCTCTGTCGGTGTGTGTGTGTTTCTCTCTCAACTCTCTCCCCTCCCCCCCTCCCCACTCCCTTTCTCTTGTGAGTATGACATGATGTAGAGTTAAACTCACCATTATCAGGATAACTTCCGGGGAGGGGGGATATATATCTAAAGCAGTTTATCATCAAATCGTACTCTTTGATAAAGGTATAAAGACAGCACAGGCGTTACAAATAAGCTGGGGCTGAAAATGGAAACGTTCCTTGCGCATGATTTGGCAGCTAGTGTTTATTCGCAAACCTTGAAAGAAGCAATCTTGCAAAACATCAAAATCAAACTGAAGAATCAATAAATACAAATTTTTTAAAATCTTTCTCTCTCTCTCTCTCTCTCTCTCATGCACACAGCCATCATGTACAAAATTCTGCAGGCTCTCTCTTCCATATCAATATCGACGCAAAGTCAACAACAACAACAAAGAATAATAAACCCCCCAAAGCGTGTAAATTGTATAAATTACAAAATCAGAAGAAAAGCAAAGGCTTTCAAATAATCAATCCCAATAAATCTATACATTACCCATTACAATCTTTTATCAGAAGTCTTTGATCGTGTTAAAAACTATCTGTGTTTGAGCCCTGTAAATTTCTCTCGCAGCCTCATAGATCCGGTTATCCAGATACAGTGCTTGCTGTACATCCGGATCTCCGGACAGTTTACCGTACAGGGCATCCCACACTTGATTCGTGTTTCGCTCTTCAGACTTCAAAATAAATTTGGACACCACTTCCTGTCTCCCCCACCCATTGCTCGTCCACACCTCCTCATTGTTATCCTCACCATAACCATCACTTTCGAATTCATCTTCATCATATATTTCCTCTACAAAGTCTATTGCCCGTGTTGTGCGGGAAATCGCAGCACTGCTATTTTTAGGAATGCCACCATCGCTTGAGTTTGTAAGTAGGTCCACAAATCCCTTCACATCTGCACTCTCGTGGAGCGACGTGTCGTCAGTTATTTCAGGGAATGTGACGTCGCTGTCAATGTTGGAATTTCCAGCATTTATTTCTTTCTGGACGTGTCTGCTTGATAAGCTCAAACCAGCCTGCTCTAGAAGCTGAACATTCTCCAACCGTGACAGAGTTCTCAGTAACGACAACTCGTCACCGTCTTTGACTAACGAGGCGAGTGACGGGACTTCTTTTTGTGGCTGTGTATCATCTGCTGTCTGACTGCTGAACGCTAGCTTACTTCCCCTGGTCTGTCCGGGTATTGCCAAGTTCGGCTCACTCGACCTTACCACATCATGCCTACTACTTCTGAAGGACTGAGCCTTGCTATTGTACTTGTTTAGGAACTCACATTCGTGTACAGGCACCCTGAAAACCAAATGGAAAAGTCGGGAAGTTTTCAGAAGATCTTCATACAAACCGACAAAAGAGAACCAGCTTTTCAGATTACTGGTGATGAAATCCAACAAACGGCGTACTACTTCCGGCTCCAGGGAGTCTAGGTGATCGCTCTGGACCGCCTGGCAGACGTGAGTGTCATCACGGGGATGAGATCGTCCAATCATATCCATTTTGTATCGTTTTATTACTTCGGAGTTCTGCCGACAAAAACGCGAGCTGTACAAAAGACTTTTAAAAACAACACTGCCCCTGGACACGATCCATTCCTTCACAGAAATCTGATGTTGATGAATGGACTGGCAGCTTGGAGCGTAGTCTGGAGTGAGTAAACATTGCCCATATTCTGAAAGAGCAAATCTTAAAGGATCTTGTAAAATCAAAACTTGCCCACACTTCTTGGTGATTGCACCACCTGTGGGCCGGCCGTCGTCGGCGTTAGTGCAACCCACCCCGAAAGCAGCAGATCCGAAATGAATCTTGAACTTGTGTTTGAATCTGAAGATGCCTTCCGCAGACGCTGGCGTGGCGTCCCATTTGTGACGTGTAGCGAACGTCATTTCTGGGGTGACGGCCTCCTTCCGGTACAAAGCCGTCCGCCGAAGACACGTTCCAAACTCACCCTCATAGTCGTGGAAAAATTTGAGAACAGACATAGGGCTGAGCGAGTAGCGTGAGTGGTATCTGTCCGCGCCGATAAAATGGCGATAGAGGAAGTAGTTCTCCAGTAGGACACGCCCCGTCAGCCACGGGAAGTGACGATACACAAGGTGTTCTTGGCTCGTGACGTCAGTGCCTTCCTGCAGGAAGTGAAGGCTGTGGAGGGTTTTGAAGATTTCGTCTGTTTGCTCCATCTTTTGCCTGTGTGGAGGGAAACAAAGGACACGTTTTAGATAAGGGGATCAGTTTCAATTATAGGTGTATGGCATTTTGCCTGTCCCTGTGGTATTATGCACCCCGCATAATTTAGAAAAATTTGATCATTTTTGCATAATTTCTGATTATTTTGTTTTATCATTCTTTGTTTAAAAAAAACAAAAAACAATGGCATAATTTCATATTTTTGGGCTCAGTTTGCATAATTTCAGAATTTTTCTTGCATAAAACGATGTGGACAGTTTTGCGTACGTCTTGACAGACGATCTTAAAGCAGTATCATGCTTGACAAAAGTCATCTGAGCAGTAGACATAGAGGAAGTAGATTGCTTAAGTACAGTAGATATTGTCAAAAAGGGTCACTCATTCGCTACCTCAGAAATACAAAGTTCTACCTGCCTAACGACTAGTTTCGAGAAATTTGGCGTCAAAATTTTATAATTTCAAAGTAAAATGTCAAGATTTTTCGACTGCAATTCTTTGAATACAGATCTTGATAACGACTCCAAATATTCTTACGATTTTGTTAGAGCAGATAGATCGTATGCTTTCTGGTGTCATGATCTTAGTGATTAAAAACATCCAAGAATGCCAAACAGAACGTTGCAATTCTTAGGTAGGGCGTAGTGAAAGTGATTTCTTCTCTCCCTCCATTCTTGACGTCCTCGATATACTCCAAAAGAAAGACATCGTCAATAAGTTTTTTTTTTTTTTTTTTTTTTTGGGGGGGGGGTTCTTTAAGTAGAAGGTTTTACGGCGCTCGCAACTGCATAAGGTCATATGAGCGCCAAGAGGTGGGTGTCAAAAGAGAAGTCCTTATCGGGAATCAAACTTATTCTGCTCACCTCTGTAGTTTCAACACGCACAAAGTCAGCTTCGACTATCAAGGCACCCCGGAAATAGCAGTTCACAAGAGAGTGACAAACATACAAAAGAAGTAGAGGAAAATGACAATAGAAAGGATTAGGAAATAAAAAGCAGCAGGTCCCTGTTGCAGATCAGGCACAGTTATGAGCGTGACTTGATGAATTACATGTATCCCATTTACAATTCTACTGTGCTTGAACGAGAACTGCCCCGGGGGGTTCAATAAGTTTGGAATCAAGGAAAGTTTGCTCAATCATCATAGCTCCAAGAGGTGAACAACAGACGAAAGTTATGTAATTTTCGATTACATCTATCTACTGCCTTCAGAAGGCATCGTTTTTCCCAATAGATCTATATGTTCAGAAACTTTTCACAGAGAATTTGTGTTCAATATTCTGCTTCATCTGCCGGGAAGTTGCAATCCTTTCGCCCGGCTTGGCTCTGGGACAAGGAGAAGCCCGCCTCCTAAATGGTCTAAATTGTACCGATGGGTGTGTAAACACAGCTACAATAAAGACATGAAGTGAGGCACACACATACACACACACACAAACACACACACACAGACACACACACAAACACACACACACACACACACACACACAC